AAAAGAAGGGAAAGAAAAAAACACAGAGGCAGTTCTGGGTTTTGCAATCTAATTTGGTCCCTTTTCTTAAGGAAAAAAAAAAAAATCCCATCAATGGCATTTTCCATACAATCTGATTTCTATTTGGCTCCCAGAAAAAGAAGAAGAGATCTAGGGCTGAAAATTCTGGAGTTTTATGGCTGATTCCAGCTAGTATCCTTTCTTCACCAGGCTCCAACTGAATTAATTTGATACTATTTTTGAAAGTCAGTGTTTCTAAGGGAGACCTAATGACGCACTGACGTCAATGCAGGTCAATAGCACACACTGCTGGAACTGGGCGTGCTACACTGAGCCAGGGCTGGAGCCTTTTCAAACAGCCCCAACTCTGCAAATATCCCAGCTTTGCAGGGGGAAAAAAGCCAGGGTTTTGTAAGCATTGAGACCCCCACCATTTTTCCCGAACACCTTCACATTTGATGCATGCTTTTTAGATGCAAAAAAAGAAAGAAGAAAATCCAAACAGATATAATCAGACGCACTGCAGTGCAAAAAAAAAAAAAAAAAAAAAAAAAACATACCTGTCAAAGGAACCGTATATAATCCGCACACACACACATTTCACATTTACGTTCAGAATGCAATACATATCATTAGGGTCTGTCTATAAATAGACCCGAGCGCGTGTGCATCGGGACTTAGTCCCAAACGGGGTTTTTAAACGTGGGAGATGAGTTCTTTGCTCTGATCAGTTACTCAGAAGGTGCCTGAATGTGTGGGGGTGGGAGCGTGGGAGGGGGCTGCCTCCTCTTTCTCCTCCTTCCTTTTGGCTCTCCCCCTCCTTTCTTCTCCCTCCCTCCCTCTCCCCTCACCTCCCCTCTCCTCTCCCTCTATTCCTCTCTCATTTCCTCTTTCTTTCTCTTCTTCTCCCTCTCTCCTTCAGCATCCCCCCACCCTCTTTTTCTCTCTCCCCCTCCCTCTCTTTCCTCCCTCTCATCCCCTCCCTCTCTCCCCCACCCTCTCTCTTCTGTCTCTCCCTCCAAGTCTGGCACTGAACGCGAACTGTTTTGCTTTGCTCCGGGAAGAGTGCAGACACATAACGTGAAATCCCGAGCTTTTTGCGTGGTGCATTTAAAATGCTTCCTTATTTATATTACCCTCATTCCCTCACCACCCCCCACCCCCTCACCAGTCCTTCCAAATTTCCCTAGAAATCTATGTAAAGCATGCGGAGGGGAAAACATTTGCACAAAAAGTGAAGGAGCTCGCCAAGGTAGGTTATACCATGCACTGTCTTGTGTTTGGCTTTTGCAAAGTTTATGATGTCAGTTGGTGAATGTTTGGAGGAGTAGATTTGTATGACTGACCATGATTACTGTCGTTTTCATTGAACAATTATCTTTGTACAAATTGCCTAGACTTCTTGGGCAGGCTTTCCTGGGGTCTTGTGTGTGTGGTTTTTGCAGGAGGCAAGCCAGCTGGAAGACAGTCCTCTGTTGTTAAGCTGGGGAGGGGGTGCCGTCTTGGCTTCCCCCACCCTAGTGTTCTGTGGTTTGGGGGTGGAAGGTGGAGGGGTATTCTGTAGTGGGCATGTGCTTCTGCCACTTGGCCGTATCGTGGATTGATTCTCATTCACTGAGTGTCTTAATTCTTGTAATTATTTTGCACATGAAAATTTAGTTCCAAAAAGGCTTCATGAAGTCAGAGCAAAGTGGGGAGAGTCGGGGAGATGAAGAATCAGGGTATGGTGGTGGTGATGGGAGTGGTAACATGTCTTGCATAGAGAACTTAATCTTCTCCCCACTATTTGGAGAAAATGCTAAGTCTTTAGTGGGTGTAAGTAAAATAATTTTTGTTTAAAAGCTTATTTGTGGATAAAATGAAATTTAAAATAAATGTTTCCATTGCAAGAGCAAAAACTGCTACAGCTCACAACCACCTGTAGAGGGAAATCTTTATGCATGATATCTTAAGGGCTGGTTGTATAGAGGAAAACCGCCTGAAAAGGCTCCTGACAAAGTTTGCAGCAGGAAAAACAAGAGAGGCTGGGCCCTGCGGGGTGAAGAGTTAAAGCTCGGGGGGGGGGGGGGGGGGGGGCAGAGAAGGAGGGAAAGGCTGGAGCTCAGCCAGGGTCTGTCGGTCTGGGGACCTACAGGGTTGGCCTTCCTGCTTTGAGGGGCTGGTGGTGTTACAGAGGGAGCTTGAGGTGGAGAAGCTAAATGGGGCGGGGGCTTGCAGAATATTTGTGTGTCGTGGGAGGAGGGGCGTTCTCTGAGGTCAGGGATTGTATCGTGCCTGGGGCCATGTGACGATAGGGAGGTCACAAGCCAGTTTCTCTGTTGGGTTCTGGTCCTCCCAGCTCCTCCCTGCTACGGCACAAAGCAAGGTGGTTATCAACAAGTGTTTCTCCTGAGAAGATTAGTTTTGACAGGGACTTCAAGGGGTTTTTTAATCTGGGTAAATCCACCAGGGCTTTATTGTGTGTAGCAAAGAGAATCATTCTTTGTTAGGAAGGAGCTTGGGGAAGAGAGGTGGAGGGATGGAGGGCGGGGGGCTTTTGAACATCAGCCATTAGACCTTGGGGGCCAAAGTTCAAATCCCCCAGAGGGCTGAAAAGGTTGAAAAGGTATCGTTATCCCTTCTCCCACCCCTGCATCTTTCACCCTGAGCTTTAAGTTTAATGGGGAAAATCCAGTGCCTGGTGTTGGCCAAACCTCATCAATGGGAATTCCATGTGTCTGAGAGCAGGATTTTTTTTCATCGAGGGAAGCAGGCAGCACTCTCAGCTGTAGTACTGTAAATTTTTTTCCCCTGCAAATGATCTTCTAGGAAAGCTGAATCACCTCCACTCTGAAAAGCAGCCACTTCTGGGAGGTGGAACACAGGGGGAGGAGGGAATACCCCCTCCTCCATGGTCCTTAAATATCCATGTGGGGGCACTACTTGAATGTCTGGTTCAGATGAACCCGGAAATATGACGAGGGTTCTTTGGACTGGGCTGGTAGTTAAGAAGACCACCTGAGCGGGAATGTAATTCTGAAGGAGTAAGGTAGTGGCTTTTTCTTTTGTGCTGGGGGTGCGGGGGTGGAGAGGTGCAGCTGGCTGGGTCATCAAATTAACATGAGAAGGGAATCCTTTCCAGCAGGGAAGTAGGAGATTTGGGGAGGGTGCTTGGAAGATAGAATCAGCATGCCATTGCCACCCCCCACCCCAAATAACCAAAAGGCAAGGAGTAGGCATAGAAATGGGAAGTGAAATGTGGGTATAGACTGTGATTAAGCCTACTGTTGCTATGAAGTGCTGTCTCACTAAATAAAGCAGAGAGGATGGTGGCTCGTTCCCTGGATCTCCTGGTGTGAAGTAAAACCAGGCCAGCTGGCCCGACACCCACTGTCCCCATCACTGAAGGTCCTGCTCCAAGAAGGGGGATGGGGAGTCTTCCACAGCCCAAAAAGCATCAGGTTTCTTTGTGTTGCACTTCTCAGAAGGAAATTGTTTCTGTTTTTTGCTTAAGTCAACAAGTGTTTGTCTCCCTTTGGTGTAAAGGTTGTGGGGGAAGTGGTTACAAGAAAAAAAAAAATCTGGTCCTGGAATTATAGCCATCTGCTCTCCATAGTCCTCCAAGACCGTCCGTATCTCTCTTTACTGTCAGCTGTGGTTTTCTGGGGACCAAGTTCCAGAAGGATAGCACCTAAAAAGTATTTCATGTCCATCAGCCTTCCCCCCCGGAGATCCATGGAAAGACCGCCTCCCTCAGGTTCTAGCAGGTGCCCAGGCACCTGTCACATGCAGACATGTATGTGCAGTGTACATGCACACATATGTGCAAAGACCACAACAATATGTATGTGGGTACCCAGAGTTCTCTCCACATGGGAGCCCATGAGAGCCCATGTCGGCTCATGAGCCACAAACACAAGGAAACAGACCTTCTTCCTGTCTGTCAAGTCTGAAGATGCCAGTTGAGACATGCCTCATCCAGTTTAGGGGTGGACCTGATGTCCCTGAGTGTATGTGGTGAACCTGAATTTGCCTTGGGTTTCCTCATATTCATTCAGGAGTGTCAGTTGCCCCTTCACGCGACGTTGGAGAGCGTTTCGGCAAGCAGGTGTCTACTCATTTATGGCAAGAATGAAGTCCAACTTTTATCTTCATCACCTTCGATGAGCCCTGGCGCTTGCCCTGTTTCTCAAAAGAAACCTAGGGGCAGGGGCAGAGCCGGTTATAAAATTCATGGGGCCTGGCACAAAATGAACATGTAGGGCCCCTTGTTCAAAAAGCAGGAAGAAAGTGCCTACATATAATGCCTTTGTCTTTCTTCCACAGTCTATCTCTAGAATCATCATGGTGGTTTTTTATTTGCTCTTTTTTATGTGGTGCTAAATAAAAATAAAAATTTTAAGTTTTTAGCATGAATTTTACTATTCATCACATATGAATAATACATTCATATTATGTGATGCCAGTTGTAAATGTAAACACAAGAGCATTTAACTCATTTGTAGAACATCGAAATTACACAATTCACATTTCATAGGTCGTATATGCATAGGTATTTCATTCTTACCAGAACAGTGGAGATGCTGACAAAATGCACTCCACTGTTTTTATTTCACTTCTTGATACAAGCGCTTTGTACTAGCACTCTCCACCTTCAGCTTGCTGTTGAGGAGAAATAGGTATGGATTGCTGTATCTTCACCTTTCCTTCTGCGTCATCATTTTCAGCATGGGTGTTTGGCAAATACAGGGAAGGAACATAAGTAAGAAATGCTACTCTAGGGTCCCTTAGTCATTAGTGTTTCTTAGAACTCCATTGCCTTCCTTCTGCATTTGAAGCAGCTGGTTCAAACAGAAAGCATGACCTCTGGGCACTGTCCGTGTCCCCATCTGCGTAGTCATAGGCTTACTTTCCATTCTACTTACCGTGAGTCTCGCTGAGCTCCCACTGGAATTCTGTACTCCTGGGCTACTGCCAGCATTGTGGGGGCAGGAACGATGGATGGGCACACACATTCTCTATTATCCCATAAGACTTCACTTACAAAACACAGGTTCAAAGACATAATTTTCAAGAATTTCAAGCAATAACAGTAGAATCTTAAACCAAGCATGGAGCCCTTCTGAGCCTAGGGCCCTGCAGCTACATAAGTTGCACCTTCCTGAAGTTAATCCAGGTGGGAGGAAATAAGAAGTAACCTAGACCTCAGGCTGAGAGCCCTATTACTCATCTTCCTTCATCAAGCGAATAATTGTATCTGCAGCAAAAAACAAACAAACAAACAAACAAAAAAACTTCAACAACCTCCATTTTTGACCCATTGGGACTTTCTTCTCCTCTAACCAAGTCCCACTCTGTGAAAATTCACCACTTCCTGGTGACGCTGTCACACCTTTGAGGGGAGAATTCATCTGCTGATCTCTTCATTGAAGCCTTGGCTTAGAGCCCAAGCCTTGCAGATGAAGTATTGGTTCCAATCAGCACCCACCACTTTCAAGCTTGGTTCCATCCAGCAGATACCCTGACTGATCTGTACGTAGGTTTCACCACCTAAAAGTAATAAAATATACTTGTCTTGATTCATGAATAATTGTGCTAATTATTTAGTGCTTCTTCTTGTTTATCTCAAAACTGCTCTGAGGTCTGCCCAGGGGTCTCCTGGCCCAGGATGACAAGTTCTCAGATATTACTTTGGCAATAAATTCAATTGATGTTGTGGAAGAAGCAGGGCTTGGTGCTTAAAGGGTCAAGGGGAAGATGGGCCTACATTCCTGATGGACCCAATAAAAAGAGTATTTTTCCTTCCTTCATCAACTGCCTTTTGCTCCTCACCTACTAGGGAGCAAAGCTAGAGGGCATCTTAGAGATGTGAGGTGGACTAGTTTGTAAATAAAATAGCATTAAAAACACATCCAACCTAGAGAATGAAGACTATTGACCTTCCATCGTTGGTTCAGGGACTTTGAGAGTTTTTGAGAGTTGTGTTTTTCAGGCTTAATACAGCTTTCCTTTCTAGCCTGGTCCTTCAGGTGACACCAACACCCTTTTGAGAAATATTTAGCTTGGTCTAGGCTACTGAGAGTACCTAGGAAAAAAAAGAAAAAGAAGAATTATTATTCTTGTCTATTATTTTATAAAACCTTTACTAGACTTGGAGTCTGCTGCAGCGACAGTCCAGTTAGTGGACTGGAAGACCAATCAATGAATAATTATTGACTGTTTACAAATGAGCCTAGCACGGTGTTTGACCCATGGTGGGTGTTTAATAAATGTTAGCTGACTCAGAGTGTGTCTCATTATCGTGGCACTATGTGATAGTGAAAGAGCTATGAATTTGGCATCAAACCACATAGGTTCAAGCAACCATGTGGCTGTATGCTCTTGGGCAAATTATTTACCTTCTTCGTAATCTGCTTATTATACCTAAACAATGGGAGTATTCACATTATAATAGCTACCCCACACAGTTATTTTGAGAATGAAATCAGAAGTGAGTTGGCTCATTTTAAAGCACTCTAGATACGTAAGTGATACATGTGTTTGTGTATATATGTGTGCACAAAGACAGATATTAAATTTATTTTTAAATCCTGTCTTCCTCTCTTTCCCATCTCACTCAGCAATAGAAGTAGACATAGGTCTCTGATAGGCTGGATGGCATCCTGAGAACAGTGTAACTGTGGACAGTTCAGGCTTTGCAGCCAAGAAGGCCTGCATTCAAATCTTAGCTCCTATATTTGGTTGGTTAAGTGACTTTTGAAAAGTTATTTAAACTCTCTTAGCCTCAGTTTCTTGACACTTAAAATGGGTACCTACCTCAAAAAGTTATTGTGGTGATTGAGTTGATATTTGCAAGGCTTGGCTCAGTGCCTGGCACATACCAAATGTCTATCACTTTTATTTTTTATTATTATTTTAGCTATTATACCTTTGGCCCAGGGAAGCATCAGAAAAATGACTTGGGAACATCTTCTTATGAGGCATGGTGTGGGATGGTATTTCTACCATATGCTTTTTCTTGTTTGGGTAGATTCTTCCTTTTCTGAAGTTAGCAGAGACCTCTTAGACTCTTCCCCATACACAAGGACTTCCCTTGGGAGATCTGGGTAAAGTCCATCTTCCCTATACTCTACTGAAAGCCATTGGCCCTACCAAGCAAGGGACAGGCCTAGGCAACTTCTCTGGAGCTTTCACTTCAACTAGGAACTCAACTCTTTTGTCTCAGAAGTTCCCAACCCTGAAAGAGAGGGCATTCAGGTAAGGAGAGAGGGACTCAGTCAATGCTTAGCACAGGTCTGGACCTCAAGTGTGGGTGGGAGAAGATCATCTGCATTTGACTCACAGAAGCCTAGAGGCAAAACTCGAGTGTTCCCTCAGCTGAAGTAGATGTTCCAAGTCCTCCTTGAATGCTGTGAGAGCCCCTCAGTGATTCTCTGGAGGCAGGTACCACTATCTACTCCTCACTCAGGTCTTGTGTTGCAATGACCTCATCTCATAGTGGAAGACAGAAGAAAGTAACCCCTTACCTAGTCCCTACGGACTTATTAAAATTGGGAACTCAACACAAACTTCTGTGTGGCCCATTATGGAAGGTCATACACTAGATTCTCAGGATCCAGCAATAACTAAAACACAGATGCTGCTTGCCATTGTAGCACTCGCACTCCAGAGGTGAGAGAGGCTTTTAACAGTCCACATTCTCCTTTTGGTAGGACCCTTACCAATCCTGGGCTGTTATGCAATGATAAAGCCCTTGTCTGAACAATAAGCCACCATAGGCTTCTGTTTCCTGTTCCAAACTTACCTGCCCGATGTCCCATTCTGTTAAGAATCCTTTCATCCATGAGTTGATGTGTGTTAATTGGTGTGGAAGTACCAGTTGGGAAAGAACAACTTCTGTCTATTAAGATCCAGATTTTGGCCAGGCACAGTGGCTCACCACTGTAATCCTAGCACCTTGGGAGGCCAAGGTGGGAGGATCACTTGAGTCCAGGGGTTCGAGACCTGCCTGGTCAACAAGGCAAGAACTCATCTCTACTAATTTTTTTTTTAATTAGCCAGGCATGGTGGTGCATGCCTGTAGACCCAACTACTCTGGAGGTTGAGGCAGGAGGATGGCTGGAGCCTGGGAATTCAAGCTTGCAGTGAGCTATGATTGTGCCACTGGTCTCCAACATGGGTGACAGAGCAAGACCCTGTCTTTAAAAAAAAAAAAGATCCAGAGTTTTCGTCCCAGTGGTCATTAGTAATATTTAGTGAGAAGAACAGTCTTCTTTTATGTTTTACTGCAATTCGTTCTTTTTTTTTTTTTTTTTTTAGAGACGGGGTCTTGCTCTGTCACCCAGGCTAGCGTGCAATGGTACAATCATCGCTCACTACAACCTCGAAAGATAGGCGCGCGTCACCAGGCCTGGCTATTTTTATTTTTTGCTATGTTGTCCAAGCTATTCTCAAGCTCCTAGACTGAAGTGATCCTCCTGCGTTGGCCTCCCAAAGTGCTGGGATTACAAGTGTGCACCACTGTGCCTGGCCCAATTCATTCCATTAGGAGTCCATGGGCTGATTATGTTAGAATGCATGGGCCCTAGAACTATAGGACTTACCCTGACCACCACATCTTGAGTATTAAGAACCAGAGAGCCAGAGAAGACCTGCTCTGCAGGGAGCAGCCTCATCCTAGCCTCAGGTCTGGGGCAGGAGTGAGGATCCCAATTCACTACAAAGGTTATTTGCTTCTACATACTTCTCTATATTTGCATAGATTTAGAAAACAACAGTAGTTTGGGGAGATGATATAAGGGACAAGGGAAGATCAAAATAGCCACTTCCTTCCCTGAAAACTCCTACGTTAGCCACTTCTCCAAAGCTAGAGAGTTTTTCCTACTCTACCTTAACTTGGTAGTTTCTAAGCTCTCAGATTTTTAAAAGCTTAATCATCTATATCGTGCAAGTCGCAGCATGATGAAGGCTGGTCACTGCTGAGAGGTTGATGCATTCCCACCAGGGCTTGGAAGCAAATTGGACCCCAAATCCCTAACCAGAATGAACCTTTCATATGCATGAGCCCCAGATCCTATCAAAACATTAACAATTCTCGAGTTACAATCCCAATCAAAGTTGTGTTTGACTTGTAATTTAACATACTATCTTAAACCAGTTGGAACCCATATATTTGCTAATACTGGTGGCCCAGAGCAGCAAGTTATTCCATGAATGAAAACATTTGGTAATAGCTCTAGAGATGAGGGATGAGGATGAGAGGATAGGCCAGAGGACAGGCCAGAGGACAGGCCAGAATGGGTTGTCTTTCTTCTTTTTTTTTTTTCTTTTTTTTTTTTTTTTTGAGACAGAGTCTTACTCTGTCGCCGAGGCTGGAGTGCAGTGGCACTGTGTCAGTCACTGCAACCTCCTTCTCCTGGGTTCAAGCAATTCTCCCGCCTTAGCCTCCTGAGTAGCTAGGATTACAGGCACCCATCACCATGCATGGCTAGTTTTTATATTTTTAGTAGAGGATGGGGTTTGACCATGTTGGCCAGGCTGGTCTTGAACTCCTGGCCTCAGGTGATCTGCCCGCCTTGGCCTCCCAAAGTGCTGGGATTACAGGCGTGAGCCACCGCGCCCGACGAGTCTTTCTTCTTATAGTCAGTGGTCATAAGGCCCTTCGAGGAAGTGGCACCTTCATGTTTTCTCCTACATGTAATCAGAAGTCCACCTTCTCACTGAACAGCTTCCCTCCACTGACCTCAGGAAGTGGAGGATGAATAGGAGCAGCCAAGCTAATTAGGGGATTGAAGGCAGGGTCTTTGTCATCTATGATTAAGGAGAGGTGAGTCCTGTGGTGTGAGCTATACAGCCTCTGCCTCCCCTAGCTAGTCCAAACTCCAGTGAGTCAACACTGACCCTTAACCAGAGGTGGGTGAACAGAGCCTAGCACAGTTACAATAAGGGTAGATGGAGTGACGGCTTATAGCTACTGAGAAAATCCATTACTTACCGTCAGATTATTCTTAATGGCAGTTCCTGAAAACTCTCTTTTCCTTTAAGGTATAGGACCTAAAGAATTCTACTCTTAAATTAGGTGTCCCGGCTGTCAGTCTTATAGCTAATTCCCAAATTATGAGAGTCCAGTGCATTTTCCAAATATGTAATGACTCCCTTTTGTTCTACGTGGCTTCGCAAGGTATCTGAGATCATCTTAGAAAATGAAAAAAAGGTAAAATGCTTCATCCTAGAGGTAATGTTTTCCTCCTCAGACAGGTTGCACTTGCCCTGTGGAAATGAGACAATGAATGAGAAGGAACACCAGATGCTTCTTCCATCAGTCCTGATTGGGACTTAACAAGGTGTGCCCCACTGCTCAGGTTCCCCCCACCCTTTGAAACTTCTCTCAATGTTGAATGGAACTCCACTTCTGTCTGTTCTGGAGAACCCAGCCAGGGCCTGAAGAAGGGATGCTCTGTATTTCTGAATACCAGCTTCTACACTTAACAGCTATGTTTGACTTTGGACAAGTTATTTAACCTCTCTAAGCCTCAGTTTTTCAACTTGAATGTGGAAATTGTAATAAGGACTGTTTCATTGAGTTGTCATTAGGGTTGAGTGGGATGATGTATACATACCTCTTTGCACAGTACCTGAGATTAATAAATATGGGGTTCATTAAATATTAGCTATTGTTACTCTTGATATCTTGCCAGCAGAAAAGGGGTGAGGCGCTCTCATCAAATATTTTTAACCTTCCTGAATGGCAAGTCTTTGTCTTTTTCTGGGTTCCTTCTGAGCTATGTATCATCCTGTAAGTAGGTGAACACAGAGCCTCTTGGGTACCTAACAAGAAGCCAGGCCACTGCTAATCAAAATCAGGCAGTGAGCAAATGTTAATTGTAAGAAAAACCAGGAAGATCTCCCATCATCTCTTGGGGCTTTTACTATTGCACTGATTAACTGTGAGCCAGACATTTTTTTTTTTTTGAGATGGACTCTCACTCTGTCGCTCAGGCTGGAGTGCAGTGCAGTGGTGCAATCTCGGCTCACTACAACCTCCTCCTCCCGGGCTCAAGACATTCTGCTGCCTCAGCCTCCCGA